GTCACTTCTTCTATGCGGGTGAGAAACTTGCACTGCGTGTCACGAAGAGGATTTTCAATAGCCAATTGCAGACTTTCATCATCAACAGCAGCCTTCGCTGGCTACATACTAGAGATCAAATGGCCAGAAAGAATAAGCAACAAGAAACTATAAAAACAAACCAACAGGCGTGAGCCTATCGCTCAACAATTATGTAGGAGAAAATGGGCATACATTGAGGAGGTTGTCGAATGACATCGCGCTCAATGTAGGCCATTGTCTGAGTGGAATCTCAGTAGGAAACGACGAATGGATCGTCCTAGGGTGACATAGAGAAGATCGTGTGAGGAAGGGATGATAGATTTTGGTCAATCGTGGATCCAGCTGAAGAAGACGGTAGAAAACAGAACAAAGTGGAGATCTGTTGTTGAAGCCCTATGCTCCACCCGGAATACAAAGGAATAATAATGATAACAATAATTTGAGTTAGGATTGAAATAGAATTTGAGAAACAGAGAGAGTTTTTGTGTGAAATAGTAACTTATGGCTTAAGAAATATCCTAGGATAAACAGTGATATAAAACTTATGGGGGGAGGGGGGCAAGGAAACAAGAATAACTCATTTTATCAGTGTGTCAAGAATCAACAGAGAGATAATGAACCAAATTTATTGTATGTATTTGTATATATTACTAATTCCTTTCGTATTCACTGCTTGTCATCATTTGTTAAACATTCTCCCAAAATACATTTTTCCCAGTCCCTAAAATCTGTTCTATGCAGGGGTCAGTTAGTACTTAGATACACATGGAGCTGTATTCACTAACCACTGCCTCCATTGACGATCAGTGTTATCTGACATAAGATTAGGTTGAAAAAAAACCACTTAGGGGTGGCCAAAATATGATTAGGGATTATCATACTCAAGCATAGAGGGATGAAGTCCATGAAAGTCGTAGGGGTTGAAAGAACTTTTTCTGTACACGGAGGTCTGACTTTTCTGTTTCGATATCCAAAGCTTCAGTAATACTGATGAGTCGGGTACGTAGGGATTTGCCTAAATTACTCTTTGTCTTGTAGATAACTTTAAAGGTGGAGGCTATAGAGATAGGGTGATCATTGTCGACCAGATGTTCAATGATCGCGCTTCTTATTGCTCCACTTCCACCTGTTCGTAACTACTATGCAGGATAGTGTTCTTGCACCCTCTTGGAAAAAACTCGAGTCGAACGACCGACATGCCTAGCTCCACAAGAGCAGGTGAATTGATAAATGCACATAGAGTTGGTCAACAGCGGGGTCCTGTCCTTCAGGTTATTGAACAGTACTGAACGACTAGTGAAGGATATTCTCAAAGATGCAGTAGGGAATATTCTTTTCAGGAACTGTGATATCCTTCTTTTCATGATATCAGAAGCTAAGTCCCCTTTGAATTCCAAGCTCATGTACAGTAATTCCATATTAGTTTGTTTATTAGATGTATCGCACAGTGAAACATTATTTACTGGATGACATTTAGAACAAAATTTATTGTTCGTGATCATATAAATTGTTATATATCATTTAAATGCATATCATTTAATTGTTATATATCACATCAACTGATTTGATTATGAACAATAAATTTTGTTCGAAACGTCATCCAGTAAATAATACTGTTTCACTGTGTGATACATCTAATAAACAAACCAATATGGAATTCAGGATTTCATCATGAGCTGACATTAGTTAGAGAACCATTGGAAAACCTGGGAGAACTGGACAGCTGTTTCGTCAGCCTAGCCTGGGACTCTTCACCAGTACGCACCCACCACAGGGGGTTTGAACCCAGGACCTTCCGGTTACAAGGCAAGCGATCTCATATACTATTAAGCCACTTGGACCCGATCCAATGGCCAGCCCATGAATTCTAACTTCTGCCAATTCACGACATAGCGCAACCGCTAGCCAATGTCTTCGGCGAGTATTTGTCCTCACACCCGACTAGCTGCACCCTACTGGTCACGACTTCCCACTGGAACCCAGGTAACTACCTACCTGAATAGGGCCAGTCGCCAGTGAGCATCTCATTGGTATTCAAGTGTTGGTTTGTAGGGATTTGATTGGTTGCAGGATTTCATCATGAGCTGACATCAGTTAGAGAACCATTGGAAAACCTGGGAGTACTGGACAACTGTTTCGTCCTAGTTTGGGACTCTTCAGCAGTATGCATCCACCGGGATTCGAACCCAGGACCTTCCGGTTACAAGGCGAGCTGGTATACCAATTACTTACTACCACAGTGCCCAAGTTTTACACATATATTAATATGACTCGTGTACAGCATTTTCTTGAGTGAGGATGATAAGTCATGTTTTATAGGATTTGAATGTATATTTTTGTCTATAAAACCTAGTGGAAATCAATTTTCTATTAGGATTTTCCTCTACAGTATCAGGGCTACATATGCGCCAAATGCGAGTGACAAGCGATCGGACCAGGTTTCGTTTTCGACCAATAGGTAGCCAGCTGTAGAAATCTGTCAGTTGACCATTCCATGACAGCTTTCCATAAATCGATCTCTTTAGAGTTCCGTCGGTCCTCCTTGATAAGTTCACATCAAGGAAATGAATACTAGACTCGTTCTACATTTCGAATGTGAATTTTATTGCTGTATGGCAACCACTAAATGCATTTAATGCATTATTCAAATTACAATAATTATTATTTTTTTTTTATTTTTGATTTACAGCTTGATTCCACACTGTATTTTCGGTACAAGTATGGAATTTTCAGCATGGATATCGGTAGCCCAAATTCGCAGGCCGACCATAGACATCAGGTGTGCGTCGGTGCGGGCTCGAACCCCGGACCATGTGCATGGTCGGCGAGAGTCCTAACCACTGTGCCACCGACGTACAAATAATAAAGGTGTCATCTTCATATCTTTTATGTATTTGAAAGCTTCGGATTGTTGACTTCAACTGACCATTTTCAAGACTGGCCATAAAACAGTCTGCTGGGTAGAGGACCCAAGGGAGGACCTATTGCAATACCATCCTTCTATCTGTAGATTGTTTCACTGAAAGTGAACTGTACATTCAATGTACATCCCAAAAGCAGTGTGTATCCCTAATATTCAACTTGTTGTCCTCAATATAATTGCATATATACGATAATGAAATTACTAGAAATAAAGCTTAATTTTATATTAAATACTCAGATTCCACAGCCAGGTAGTTGCGAATGTTGGTTCTGCACTTATTTATCATCGACGACGGATATACACAATCCTCAAATTTTAAAAAACCCTCCCATTTAAGGATGTGATCAGATACTGATCTAAATGTGTCTAGAAAATAAAAAATACACCTCAATGAACAATACGGTTACCAGTTGAGTACATCGCCTACGTGATCGACAGATTATGTTTAATGTAATGACATAGTTGTGCGTCGGTGGCGCAGTGGTAGAATGCCCGCCGACCACAGCTGTGGTCCGGGGTTCGCTCCCCGGTCACAGACGCACTCTTTTACCTCATCAAGCCAGTAATATGACTGGTAAAGAGAGAAGGTTAGGCATAAGGCTAGCAACCCCATTCTGTAAAAATAAACACCACTGCCTTTAGCTTGAAACCCTATGTTCCACTGGGGACGTAAAGGAATAATAATACTAATAACATGATTATCAATTCGGATAATAACTATCTACCTTGAATTAGTTTTATAAATTTTCCCTTCTCCTAAACGATATTACATTATTGATAATATCCTATTGTAATAAAATAAAGGGATTACACGGCTTAATCCACATTCCCCCCCAGGATATTCATCAATAACTCTATAAGGCGAATGCATGCAAACACAAATATTCTATGAAATTGATTTTCACAAGAATAAATACTTATTCCCCATGTATTCTCTAAGACACAATATATTACAGTGTTGAACACACCACCCATCAACTATGCACGTATACAACATTGTGCTTTACGTGTCAAATTCTCAATCTGGGCGTTGCCTATTATTATTATTATTACTATTATTACTTTTCTAATCATAATTGTGTACTTGACTTCAATAGAGCACTGGTATGCATGTATGTGTGTGAATTAATTGAGAAGTTATAAGGATCTTTTCATACCAGGCAGGAGAGATAGACAGATATATACAAATATCTATCTGTGTTAAGCCTTAAAAAAATGTGATAAATAATTATAATCGTCTACAGGTGATCTACTCAATGCTCAAGAGAGTAAGAGAACAAACAAACAAACAATGCAACTATAGACACACTTGCACATACATACATATACTCTTGTGTGCTCATCACAATTCACCTATTTTTTTCAAATTCTAACAAAAACGTGATCCCATCTACTTCTACCAATCCGAAAAGCAAGGGGGCAATCAAAATGACCAGTTATATATTCTCTTCATTGAAATTTCTTTGGATATTTTATCGATTGACAAACTAACATGGGAAACATTAGAATACACATGATTGAGCATAATACCGATTATGGTAAATGGATGTAATTTTAATGTGTATATATATATATATATATCACATTGTGAACTTGTACGTGGACACACATAAAATGTTTTTGTGCACAGGTTTATACACTATCTACACACACACACACATAAACACAACACATATGTGTATATGTAGGGCAGTGAGAATTTGCTAACTCTTCTCAAAATGTCCCAAAAATGCTAATCTGTGCTGCCCACCCATTTATGAATACATGTGTTCAACAACACCAAAACAATCATTAGGAGTTTTGTATATATATCTAAGATAATTTTTATAAAAAAACAAAACAACATAAGTAGATAGAGTAACACTGAATCTTTTATGAATAAATATTGATCGTTATTATTGACTTTGCACCAGTTATTTAGCTACACATGCTTAGAGAGAGTCACATTGATTATGTGTTACTGCACAGCCTTAGCCTATTTACCCACCTTCCCTACCTGCCTGCATGCCTATCTACCTACCTACCTACCGATCGACCGACCGACCAACCAACCTACAAACATGCACACGTACATTAGTATGCATGCCCTACACATGGCATACGTGATTAGAATATCTGTTTTCATCTCCCTATCACAAGTGAGAAGATATGTTAGTGATAGGGCAATCAAGAGAATGGGCAGGACGAGGAGGAAGAGGACGAAAGACACAAATCAGAGGAGGAGGAGTAGTGTTCAATAATTATTCCCATTTTACATACCTTCTAAGCTGATTTATTTTTTCTTCCTATTCCCGCATATCTATCTATCTATCTACCTACCTATTTATCTATCATACCTTCGCAATAAATATTTATTCCTCTGGGATAAATTCAAATTGTGAAAAATCCTCCTCATTTCATTCGGTGTTTAAATCTTTGCGAACTATTAACCCTTTTACATTTACAATGACTTCACGTCGTAAGCAAACACGTCCAACAAAAAGTAAGTTGTGAGCTAAACTATTTGACTATTGTCGTTTTTTTCATTTTATCGTTAACAAGACATTACATAATTGTTGTCATTAATGTATAACGTGTATAGTAATTATTTGATTCATACTGTGTTGTGGATGGGGTGGGGGGAGATCTGCTTCATATACAACAGATTATTAAATTTTCAAGTATTGGTTTTGTAGGGATTTTGTTTGATTGCATGGAGGATTTAATCATGAACCGATGACATCAGTTAGAGAACCACTGGAAAACCTGGGAGTACTGGACAGCTGTTTCGTCCTAGTTTGGGATTCTTCAGCAGTACGCACCCACAGACACGGTTCGAACCCAGGACCTTCTGGTTACAAGGCGAGCTCGTAGGCCATTGAGCCACTGGGACCCGATCCAATGGCCAGCCCATGAATTCTAACTTGTGCCAATTCATGACATAGAGCGACTATCTCGGAATGTCTTCTCCGATGAGTCACTGCTTCATCTTCTACCTGCTGTACCCTACTGGTCACGGCTTCCCACTAGAACTCCAGGTTAACTACTTGAATAGGGCCAGTCACTAGTGAGCATCAGATGAATTTTCAAGTATTGGTTTTGTAGGGATTTTGTTTGATTGCATGGAGGATTTAATGTATATTTATATACAGAGAAGAATCAGATTTATATACTAAACTCCTTTTGGTTGATAATGACTATCACAAAGGATCCTAAATGTAAATTTCGTTCTGTTTAGGATTTATCACCTGGATGTACCTGTATTTCCAGCGAATAGCAATGAAGTGTGTTCCCATTGAGATTCGAACTTTCAACTCATTATTTCAAACGTCAAAGCATTATCCATTAGGGCAATGAGAACCATCTACGGTACAACGGGTAGTAGTTATTATCTCTTTTTTCGGTTAATTTTCATTTCCTGTTAACGGATTATAAAAGAATGGATATTGAACAAAGAGTACTCTTTTCGATAACCCCTTCACCATCAGGCTCTATAGTTATATATGCATTACAGTGAATGAAAGAATTAGTGTTATGAACAACACTAATGTTGTTTAAATAACATCGAATCAATAGTAATAGCAGTAGATTACAGTTCAATAGCATCAACGCAACAATAAAGGCTGAATGCCACAATAATTAGGAAAGATAATAATACAAATTCGTGAATTTATGGTCTCTAATGAAGGCCAAGGCAGTAGTAGGGGCTGGTTGGACTTGTTTCTTTTGAACGCAGATCACTGGTTGTTTGAGGCGAATCGCAATAGCCTCCCCTGTTTGGAGCATGCGGTACCTCGATGTTTTTGGAAATTTATTAGGCACTCGGTAGATTATAGAGAAGGATTCTTCCACACTAGCTGGCTTTGTGGCGGGTTTGGACGAGATGGCCCAATATCGAACTGTTGATGCTCTTAACTACACCTTTACTTAGCCATAGTGGGAGATGTTCTCCAGTGAGAACGAAAAATCAAGTTCCTAGAGTATCGGTCAATATAACTAGCTTATTTCACTTGGTATATCGCCCTTGAATTGTAGTCATATGTAGAGTGGCTTCTTGTTTACAGATAATGTGTAGTCCTTTTCCGCTTTCTTTATCATGTGTTTCTTGATAAATTTTTCGGGATAGCTATTTTTGATCAAAGTGTCATATACAATGCTTAATTCATCTTCAATTACTTCTTCTGAGCATATAGCACTAACTCTGTGGCTGAGGGTCTTCACTAAACTTCTTTTGTACTTGATAGGAACGAAGCTGTGAAAATGTGTATATTGTTCTTTCCATGTGCTTTTCCTATGCAAATTTATTTTTATGCTACCATCTGGTTTTCTTGTAAGAAGGACATCCAAGAAGGCATTTTTGTCTTGAGATTCCTCTTCGCACTTGAATTTCATAGCAGAATGTACTTCATTGAATTCAGTAATTATTGTACTCCTATCCGAATTATTATCACAAAGGATGAAGGTGTGATCCATGTATCGGCAATAAAATGAGAACTTACTGATAAGATTTTTCAGACGACGATTTTCTAGCTTACTTTGAAAGAAATCAGCCAGAATGGAACCCAATGGGGAGCCATAGCCACCCTGTCCACTTGCCTGTAAAGCGTGTCGTCAAATTTGAAGTTTACATTCATGGTACACCTTAATAACAACTCTTTTAGGATTTCAGTAAGGATGCTAATGTTTATCGATTGGTTATTCACTTCTTCACATACATAGTTAACCGTTTCTATGAGAGGTACATTTGTGAATAACGATGTTATGTCCAGAAATATTATGGTTTTGTCCTTGTTATAAAGATCTTATTTATTTATTTTATTGTTTGACAATCCTAATTTACACATATATACAAATGCGATTGTACAGAAGTTGTAGTGGCTAGACTTCCTTCTTTTGCACACAAAGCACTGGTTGTTTCCAGAGAGAATTGCAATAGCCTCCCCTGTTTGGAGCATGCGGTACCTCGATGTTTTTGGAAATTTATTTGGCACCTGGTAGATGATAGAGAAAGATTCTTCCACACTAGCTGGCTTTGTGGCCGGTTTACACCAGATGGTCTAATATCGTGCTGTCAATGGTTTTCACTACACCTTTCCTTAGCCATAGTGGGAGATGTTCTCGAGTGAGCACGAAAAATCAAGTTCCTAGAACAAACAAAATTTTCGAGTTGCATCGCTTAAGTATCCATACTTGGAGCTAACATGTCTTGGTTCAACATGGTCAATCAACGGGAAATCCATACTAACCTAGGAAGAAATCTATGTTAAATTGTTTAATCAGGAAGGTCCCTCACTGAAGTTATGTGTGTTTGCCTGCGTGTGTGTGTATGTGTTGAAGAGTCTGTGTATACCCGCTTCCTGCAGTGCTAAAAGTAATACGTCTCTATCATACTATCCTAAATTGCTGTCAGCAGTTTGAAGCAATGAATCAATGAATGGGGATTGGCATACTCAATCTAGGTAATGTTTACATTGAACTACAAGAAGAACATAGAAAGACAGATAGACAGAAGATTGTTTGGTGTTCTCGCTAAATCACGAATTGGTAGAAGTTAGAATTCATGGATTGATTGGCCATTGAATCGGGTCCCAGTGGTTGAATGCTATACCAGCCAGCTTGCCTTGTAACCGGAAGGTTGTGAGTTCGAAACCCCTGTCCTGGGTGCTTACTGCCGATGATTCCCAAACTCGTGGGATGAAACAGCTGTCCAGTACTCCCTGTGGTTGGTTTTCAATAGTTCTCAAACTGATATCAATCCGTGGTGAAACTCGTCAAAACAAATTTAGTCCTTACAAACCAACTCTAGAAGATAGAAGAACGACGTCTGTAAACATAACTATCATTTCGATGAAATGTACTCTCATGTATACCAAAGTGCGTATATAGTGAATGTCGAGTTAATACTTGAAGTTTGTATATAACGAAAAATATACTTATTCAATTAAATTTTAGATTTTCCAATGAATCAGCGGGAAAATCTAAAATTAAATAATCAATATGACCCGTAGCACAAGAGGTGGCCAGCTCTCGTGGCCCAAGTGATCCAGTGGATAACGCTTCAGCTGGCGTTTGAAACTATGGGCACTGGGTTCAAGCCTCGGCGGGGACACTATCACTCACTGACTAGCCAATGTAGGTACATCCAAATGACAAATCGTTCCCAGATTGGATGAAACGCGTCTTGTCCTCGATTCCATTGTTAGTCACCATCCACTAGTTAACTTCTAATCATATCCATAGTTGATAAACATCTATGATTACTTCAGTTAGATATGCACATAATATAATGTAATCATTTTCTTGTGGAAAAGACTATATTTTGTCACTAAGACCTGTCTGTTTACCCATCATCAATAACACAGGAGGGTATCATAATATACATGAACCTTGTTATTATACTGAATTTTTAATAAGGTGATCACGCAATATATTCAACGGCTGATAATCTTGAAAGAATGTCAGTGTTAATTTTTGTCACTGTCAATCGGAAAAGATAAATTATAGGTGTTTATCACTAATACATTTTGTTGTTGTTGTCTAAATTCGAACGAATTATTCGATCATGGGGTTTCGACTCCGTATGAGACTTGCAGATTAAGTGTTATCTCCAAAATTGGAATGTGCAAATCGCTTGAATAACGTAAACGAATTCAACGCTGAAATTATAATAAGATGTGTAAAATACGTAAGATATTTTTAGGGTGTTGTGTTTCTTAAGCTGGATGGTTGAATTGTGAAGCTTTCACTGAAGTCGGTGTTAAAGACGATTTATCAGAAGGATGATGAAAGATTCACGGTTAAATTATCCACCTGAAAGAACACTCTAATAAGCATTCACTTGAGATATTAAAAAAATCTCTTTTTCAACATTTCAAAAACTGTCATTAAAATATGTCTATAATATGGTAGAATGTTATTCAACTGCATACGTGATCCGTGTTCAGCTCATAGCTGATACAATCTTAAGTCTTGTCTGTAGTAAGCAAGCCCAATAAAGTGGGAAGATTTGACGTGAGTTTGGCTACCCCACCCTGAAAAAACAACAACAACTTCAAGGCTACTGGAACTTCAGCGTTCAAGATTAAAGTCTCATCTGCCATCCGGAACGCAAAGGACGGAGAAAAAATTTCAAGGACGTTCAAAAGGATATCCTTATAAAATAAAATAAAGATTGAACTACTTACTGATAAATAATTAATCTAAAAATCACTAGTTTATTGGAAGCTTTTTAAATAAAAGGAACATAATAACGAAATATACAAATGTCCATGAACTAATTCTCATCTGGATGTTATTTGGAATTCGATTCACCAAGACACATAACTGATAATAATAATAATAATAACAGTATGCGAATATACGGTACAAAAATTTTCAGCGTATTCACTTCCAAAGTACTTTTTTCTTCACACAGGATTCACATGTAAAGTAATAATCTGAAGTATACCTTCATTTCGTTGAAGAATTGTACAGCGTTTACTTGGGAGCAAGTTAAATCATCGC